CCCAATAAATCAGCAACATAAACAGCAGAATGTGAGGGTATTTGTGTCAGTGATGCGTGCGCTGAAAGACAGAGAGAGATCAAAGTGTCCCAACATCCTAGAGGAGCCGAGTGACTGAATGAGGGCATTTTTGAGCACAATGAATCTTTAAATGTGAGAGATTGATTGTGGTTTCAGCAGTTTGATAATTTACCTGGAGGTTTAGTACTCTGTGCTGCTAATGAGGAGACAGAATAATATTCCAGGTTAAGGGCAAAAGACCAGTGGGGAGTTCAGGTGAGTATCATGTTAAGAACAAATGGCTGATGCACCTGGCATGTGTCGTGTGTAGATCTAAGATAAATGCAGTGCTAAAAACAGACAAAGAGGTAGAGTAGTATCATTACAGCCATGTCAAGGACACTTAATGTGAAGGGGGAAAAAACAGGAGCAATTGACACCATCACTCTCTCATTCCCTACTTTTCTTACGTATCATTCGCCCCTCTCCTTTACCTTCTTCACCCTGTCTGTGTTATTTGAGGTTGTCTCCTTGACTCTCACGGAGGACACCGTCACCGTTCGCCTGTGTGTGATGCCAAGAGTTTGTACTTAAGCTCATTAAGAGCCACAAGTTGGGTTTCATTAGTCCTAATATGGAGATGACTTTCAGCCTTCTCACGCGTGCTGTCACGTCATGGATATGTGTTTGCCGTTACCTGTTTAAGCAGTTCATCGGTGTCGGGTGACTTACGTAGCACTTTTTTTTTTAACCTGCTTGGCTACAAAAATTTCTTTTAATGTTCGCAAAAAACACACAGAGATTACTTAATTAAGTAAAATACCGATATTTCAAATTCTGAAATAAATGCAAGAATATAGAAATAGAGGCTTTATCAACAAAACATACTGAAAGAAACAAAAGTAAAAGATGTCAATCTGCAGAAAAATGATCCCTGTGAGCAATATTATTTTTTTAATCTTTCTTAGAAGATTTAGTACAGTGTTTTCAAACTTTGTACCTCAACTTAGTCACAACATAAATCTGTGGGGTTGCGAGATGATTGATAACATTTTCCTTTCAGGCTTTTCTCCATCTTGATCTTCTTAGCTTTAACTCTAAAGTGCTCTTTGTGTGTGCGTGGTCAAGTTGGTGGTTTGCATTACACTTTTAAAGATTATTTCAGAATTTTTATGAGTAATGAGTAAGAATTGTAATTTAAATGGTCATGCAAAAGCATAAAAAATTCCTGAAGTTCAATTAAAAGAAACAAAAAGCACCTCAGAAGTTGAGGTAATGCCCTTTTCACTAACAAAGCCTGCTCTTTATCAATGTAATCCACTTGCTTGCTGACTTTTTTCTGGCACTGTGCTGCACCCATAAGGTCTCCCTGCGGTCTTCTATCAAGATGGATTTCATGAAGCGGAGGAAAGCAGGCCTTCTCAAATTCTACCCAAGAGGGAGGGAGATACACCTGGAAAAGAATGAATCGTCAAATGATATAGACCTGGAGCCACCTATGCTACTGTATACTCGAATGACTAATTTTAGTTTGCTCTCACATCAGTGCCGTCAGGGCTGTCATGCAATCGTTGAGCCCCTCTCAGGCTTGCATGACAGCCTGACATGATCGCTTCAGGATTCACTGCCTGATGGACAGGGTGGCTTGACATCTGGGTGTCGCTTGACCTGCTCTGTTGGTAACCGAAGTGTTCCTGCAGGTCCTTATCAGATGCTTCAGGCTCTGTGCCAGTGACAAGGCCTGGCTTTGTAATGCTCGTCTCCTCGCCTCACACAGGATGCACCTGCCATGCAGAGACTGTTGTCTTTAAGTTTAAATCAGCTCACCTCACGAGGTCAGGCGTGCTCTTAGACACTGTTTGCAGAATGTCTCCGCACTGTTGTTCATCCCCATGTGGTTGAAAAGGTCATTTGACTGAGAATTAAGTAACTGCTCCGAAGCATAACTCATGCAGCATGTCTGTCTCACCCTGATTCAAAGCTGATAAACCTCAGCTACAAGCCTACAATTCACCGGACAAACCCAGGACTGCTCTCAATATACGTATAAGACAGAATTGCAAGTACTTTTTATGTGATGCATGTTGTTCTCCTAAGACTTTTACACTTTAGTTGTACACTGCTCAAAAAATTAAAGAAAAACTTTAAAAAAGACAAATCACAGTAGGAAAAAAAATGCTGGATATCTATAGTGACATGGACTCAATAATGGGTTAGGAGTGAAAGGATGCCCCATCATTTGATGGAAATGATAATTATCAATGTACAGAGGCCTGAATTCAAAGACACCAGGAAAATCAAATTGAAAATGATGCAGGCTAGTACATTTTGCTGAAATTTTATTGCTTTTATGAATGGCTGACAATGATGCATGCTACCAATGACAGAACAGATGGTTTCCTGGGGAAGTTCCTGGACAGTCTGAGGTGCAACCTGGTGGAATTGGATGGACCGAGAGACAACGTCCCAGAGCTGTTCTAGTGGATTTAGGTTAGGTGAATGTGGCGGGCAGTTAATGGTATCAATTCCTTTATCCTTTAAGAACTGCCTGCATGCTCTCCCACATGAGGCATTGTTGTACACCAGGAGGAACCCAGGACCCACTGCACCAGTGTGGTATCTGACGGTGTGTCCAAGGGTTTCATCCTGATACCTAATGGCAGGTCTGTGTGTCTTTCCATGAATATGCCTCCCCAGACCATCACTGACCCACCACCAAACTGGTCATGCTGAACAATCTTACAGGCAGACCCTTTCCTGTCTGTCACATGTGCTCATAGTGAACCTGCTCTCACCAGTGAAAAGTACAGGGTGCCGGTGGTTGAAGCACCAATTCTGTTATTCAATGGCAAATTCCGATCAGCTCCACTAGAGGACATCGGGCCTGAGGCAAAGTCTGTTTCTGAGTGTTTGATCAGAGACATTCACACCAGTGGCCTGTTGGAAGTCATTTTGTAGCTCATCCTGTTCTTCTTTGCAGAAAGGTCTTGGTGATGGGTTAAGGACCTTCTACAACCCTGTCCAGCTCTCCTAGTGTAACTGCCTATCTCCTGGAATCTCCTTCCTCCTCTTGAGACTTTGATGGGAGATGCAGCAAACCTTCTGGAAATAGCACTTATTGATGTTCCATGTTGGGGGACTTGGATTTTCACTTCATGACTCTGACCCTAGTCAAATGCAAAAAAGTGAAAAACAGTCGGAAAAGACGAGCATGGAAAAAAAATGTCAGCGACCTGTTTTGAAGGTTGTGTCGTTGTTGCCACTCCAGCACACTTGGTGTTAATTTTATTAACACCAAAGCAGCTAAAACCTTGGCACTTTTACCCAAGTAAAATATATGGCGTGTGCCCTCCACGTGTGTTGCAGATTGACTTGACTTGGTATCTCAGACTTATACAGAAAGGCAAGCAGAGCTGACAAACCAGTTTGCTTCACTAGATTCAGGTGACAAACAGATCAAACTAAATTCCATTTCAGGATTTTGCCTGTTTTTCACATGCCAATTGTGGCTTTCCTGCATCTTGTTGCTCTCACCCTCAACATCTTTATCTTTCTACCCTTCCTAGCTGAAGGAGTTTTAGAGTTTTTTATTTGAAGTGACTAGAAACATTTACAGGCAGTTTCCCTGACACTGAATAACCCAAATGCTCAAAGCAAAAAAGGAAGAATTCAGTGAAGATCTTCACTAAAAACAGTTTCTAGTCTAAGATAGCTAGACAGCTGGGAAGCCAAGCCTTGAAATGTGCAGCATAGAGGGAAAATATTACTAGAATTACAAATGTTATTCTGCAGAATTAGGTCCACTGTTATGATCTGTATATTTTTTTTTTTCCTTTTTCCACCCTTGACTGCTAGATCCGTGTGTGTGTTGTACTTTTCTCCTATTTACTTTCCTCACTGCAAGTTGTTGAAACGAATCATTGGTCTGGAATGAAACAAGAAAAGCAGTAAACAAGACCGTTAACAGCTATACAAGGTCGTTTGCTTTGCCTCGGGCCAAAACCGGGTTAACATTTACACGCGTTGTTTTGAAATCATTACCTGTCTGCGGGCTGCGCACCTCGAGCTCAAATATTCAAACCGACCAACCAGAGGACACCTCTGGAAAACACAGAGGGCGGAGGAATGAAAGCGGATCGCTTAAGCCACGCCCGCTGACGCACTGCTGACCTGGAATCAGTTTCTTAATATTGCTGAAGGTAACAAGAGCAGGTAGTTAAGCTCATCAGTGTCCAAGCACAATTACACCTCCAAGTGAAATCCCTCAGTGGTTTGAAAGGAGAGGATCTAATGTAATTCATCTGCTTTGTGTTCCCTCTCCAGCCATATTTTAAAAGTGACGAGCAGCTGCAAAAGCCAATGAGGTGGAAGAGGACGTGTTGATTTACTGATCTATGTGTTGCGTGCGTGAGAGAGGGACAGTTAGTGTGCTCACAGTCACAGCAGCTTGAGCATTCCTCTGTGATTATACCACCACTTTCCAACGTACATACTTGACTGATGTATTTCATAAATTGGATCCATTCTCTGGCTTTGCTGTCCCTCTTTTCATTTACACACACACAGGCATACGCACAAAAGCACTCGTTATTTTTGCCTCACACTCGCTCTTTTTCTTTCTCTCCTCCCTCTGTCTTCCTCTTTTGAAGAAGTTTTCTTTGCACTTCCAAGTCAAACATCTGGGTCAGCTTATATCTAGTGGAACAAGACTTGCAGGATATTGTTGGCAGGATGTGTGAGCCAGAGCAGTTTACTCTGTGGGAATCCCCAATATACAGATACACACAGACATGCATAAACACACACACACACACAGACAAGCAGTACTCACAAAATGTCAGTGCTTACACTCAACCACAGCCTCACAGTTTGCTGATATTCAACTCGACTTCCAGCTGCCACACGTGTGTGACAAATGATAGATTTGTACTTCTGCATTGTAAGAGTCCGCTTATATTTTCAAGTACGTGTCACTGCAAACACCACGCTTAATATTTGGTTAAATGCCATGTTTAATATTTTGAAAAGATTACAAAAGCAAAAGAGAGGGGACAAATCATAAATATTTTCAAGACCGAGTACAATCTGGTATAATCTGTAACTTATTCTGTGACTAAATATATGTTCTCAAGTTATTCACGTGCAAGACATTCTCAAACATCCCCAAACTTCCTGTCTTTCCCGTGCCTTATTAAACCTAAGTGACTGCTGAATCTGAGTTAGAAGAAGCTGAAATTAACCCTGTCGTGTATATAAAACTAGCCACTGCTCTGAGAACAGTGCAACTAGCTCCAGATAAGCTGTGGTATGAGAAACAGTTGCAGAAGGAAAAACACTACTCCTCCCGAATGCTCCGTGTTCTGTGAAACCATAAACTAAAGCGCTGGACCTCTTCCCTCGTGTGTAGCTGTAGTGTTTACATATTGCATAAGACAAAAAAAAGGAGAAGCCATTGCACTTCTGTCCTCTATCTCCTCTGCTGATTTACAGTTCTTCTACGCCCTCTCCATCTCACTTTTCTCGCCCCCCCCACCCCCCCTCCTTCTTTTGCAGTGTTTCAATCTTTCTTCTGCGCTGACTCGCCGTCTTTGGGTTTTTCGTCTGTTTTGTACTCCAGGAAGAAGTCGTTGCAGGCGACTGTGAGGGCGCCCATCAGAATGATGAACTCGGTGAAGTCCACCTCCCCGTCGTTGTTGGCGTCCAAGTCGTTCATCACCTTCTCAACTGCTTCATTATCTTTGGAGCTCTGTCAGTGTGGAACAGAGAGAGAGACAGGCTTAAGAATGTGTTAGGTGTCATGCACGTGCGTCTGTGGGCATACATAACTGCACAGGCTTGTTTGTTCTTGTGTGTCTGAGGAGATGAGCCAATATCTTTACTTGCATCATGCATATTTGTAAACTGTATTAGTGTGTTAGTGTGCAAACCACATAATTACCCCTAAATAACTCCCCAGCTCCTCTAGTAGCAGCTCCTTCAGTTCGCCCCGGCTCAGAGTGTACTTGTCGCCTTCCTTCCCCGAATACTTGTGGAAGGTCTTTATGAGCATCTGCATGGCACTCTCCAGGTTGGAACTGGGCTCCTTGGACATGCTGGAAGGGGGATTCAAGTAAAGAGGTCAGACTCTGCCACACAATGCCCGCTCCAGCCCCAGCTGCATGTGCGGTCACATAGCAGTCAAGGGTGAAGCCACCTCCATAAGAGTGATAGTTGATGGATGGAAGGAAGGAAAGCAAAGCAGAGAGGTTTTTCCCTATTTCTAAACATTGGGTTTAATAATGCTCTGCATGCATTGCAGAGTCTACTAAGGTCACTGTATGTGTGTGTGTGCAACCTTAGTAGGTTTTACATTTCAGAGGTTTGGGTGAAAAGATGCAGGACAGCTTTGGGAAAGCTTCTTTTTGAACAATCTTACACACATTGTGTCCGGCATCGTGGAGCTTCTTGTGCTGGACTCGTGGAGAGACTGTGCACACACAGACACAGATAAGTCACTGTCAATGAAGCATGAGTGTGAAGGGTTTTCCAAAAACACAAACCCCCCCAAAAACAAAACAACAACAACAAAAAAAGCACACGCTTCATTGTTCTTTGATCCTTGGGTTATCGGTGTTGTAAGCTGAATTCGTAATGCATGTACCAATTAACTCCACGGCATCAGCAATAAGTGGTTTTGATGTAAACCACATCTCTCTATTTGCTGATCCTGTAACAAGTCTTATCATTCAAATGGAAACCACAAGTGAAACATAACACTTGCCTGGTAATGACATTTAGAAACTAAGGGGGCAAGTAACCCGAGTTGCCAGCATATACACTAACTGGTGCATACAGATGAGGGACTTCAATTTCACTCTTGCCAAGATGCATTCAGCTTTTGGCCCAAAGTTTAAAATTCAGGGACCTATTAACTAGAAAACAGTGCGCAGAGCTGTGCTGATGCTAATCCTTACCACACGTAACACCAAAGGGCACAATCAGTCTGCCATGCTCCCCTGTGCATGATTTATTAATTATCATCTCTGACATAAGGAGACAGGGATGTTAATGTCAGTCACCGGTTATTGCCTCTCGTCATGCTGCAGAGCATTGTACCAGAGAGGTCAGAGCTGCAGGCAGCACAGACAAAAGACGAGGCCAGTGGACACCAAAGCTGGCTCACTGGAAAATCTATAGGGGTCACTGTCTCACTGACTGGCACAATACAAAAGGAAGCCATGGAGATGGAAATGCTATCAGTGACACAGGAGTGAGTATAGTAATAATGCATATGTATGAAGTTATCTTAACAATGAAGCAATATCCAGGTTGAGTGATGCATGGCGTTAAATATCTTGAGTTAAAAAAAAAAAAGATAATCAGCTTAATGGAACAAGACATGCTGAGACTAAAAGATTTGGTATGTCCAGTATGTTCAGTATATTATCTTTCCTACCAGTGCTCTGCTGCTCTGCCACAAATCCCTACTGGCTTCGCTTGTTTCCATATTTCACTGATGTGCAAATTTCCTGTCATGCTCCTCTCAAAGCTTGCACATCAGTGGAAAGCCAGCAGTGCTTTGTCCAGACAAAAAAAAAATCACCAACTGACTCACGCGGTTTGTTTTCCAAGTCCGCTGCTGAGTGCCCACTATCCGTTCTGCACTAACGGCATTTGAGTATTTACTTCGGCTGTGCAGCTGCTAAAACACTTTACAAAGAAACTTTCATCGGATACAGAGGAGAAAGTCCAAAATCCAAGCTATCCGTCTTACCTGAGTACTGATGGAGGGCCTCCTTTGTCTTTGAAGAGGTGCAGGGGACAGAGCCAAGGCGGAGATGGATGGGGAGAGAGTTTGCCAGTGGCTTAAATATCACCTGTACCTCTCCCTCCTCCTCCTTAACCCCCCCACCCAACCCCCAACTCCTTCACCCACTTACGTATACTACTTCAGTTTCCTTTACATCTATCTCTCTCTGCGCAGGTGTTCAACTCCCCTCCTCTCTTCATCACATATGCATACAGTCATGAAAAGGAATTTATGTAAAAACAGCCTCAGATGAACAGCGTGTGATATATTACACTGTAATATATTTAAGACTAAATCAAAATGCAGAGGCAGTGTGTAAAAAATGAGCTTATATAACCGCCTTTAGCAGCAATAACTTGAAGCACTCGTTTTCTTTATGACTTTATCAGAGGAATTTTTCTTCTTGTCAGCGTTGCTTCAGTTCATTGAGGTTTGCCAGCATTCATTTACACACGGCTCTTTTAAGGTCCTGCCACAACATTTCAATCAGTTTAAGGCTGGGACTTTGATCTGTCCATTGCAGAATCTTCATTCTTGTCTTTTTCAGCCATTCCTTTGTAGATTTGCTGCTGTGCTTGTTGAATGACCCAGTTTGGGTTAAGCTTTTGCCGTCAGACAGATGGCCTCACATTTCACTCTAGAGTTCATGGTGAAATTAATGACTGCAAGTTGCCCAGGTCCTGCACCTGCCAAACAAGCTTAAATCATCACCCCTCCACCACCGTGCAGGAGAGTTGTGGTGTGTGTGAGGTGTGCTTCATGGCTAAACATCTCCATTTTGGTCTCGTCTGTCCAAGGCTGTTTCAGAAGCCTTGGGATTTGTTCAGATGCAATTTTGCAAATCTAAGCTCTGCTGCAATGTTCATTTTAAAACAGTTTTTTCTTGGAAACTCTTCCAAAACACCACGCTGTTTTTTAGTCTTTTTTCATTTCTAACATTTAACATGCTAACTGAAACCTGTAGCGTCTCCAGTGCAGCTCTTGGGTGTTTTGCAGAGTCTCTAAGCATTACATGGTCTGTCCTTTGGGTGAATTTGCTGGGCTGCCCATTCCTGGAACGATTGACAACTGTCTTTCCACCTATCTTTCTTACAGTAGAATGATGGACAAAAACCTGTTTGGGAATGGCAAAGTACCGCCTTCTGAGATCGAAGGGCAGCAACAAATGCTTCTTTAAGATCATTGCTCATGTCTTTCCTTCATGGCACTCTGCCAACACTTTCCTTCTTAATTTCTTTGGAAGCAGCAAGGGTGTATTTAGTTTTTCTCACTGATTCTGCATTTTGGCTTAATTTCTTTTAAATAAATGATGAAACTGTGTAATCTGTCAAGTGCTGCTTTTCATCTGAGGTTGTATTAGAATACTTTTACTGACCACTACCATTAAATGATAGAAAAGCTATAGATTTTTTAGCTCATGTCACCCCTTAACAATTCAACAGAATTTTAGCTTCTTGTACTTTGTGGATCTTCATCCAAATTGTGCTCAATCTCATGGCCACACTTGTGCAAAACACCCATGCAGTGATGTTTTTACTTTCTTTACTTCACAGATTATGTTAACCTGTAAGTTGCGGTGCATCATCAGTCAGATGAGCTTCTACGTCACTGACTTTCAGGTATTTTACGTCCTGATTTGTAAAAACCTTAAAATCGACACCAGGATTTTTAATTGAACAATCTACAAAAACTTGTTATTGTCACAGTTTATTCAATATTAGCCATTACACTTTACATAAAATTATCCAAAACGATACAGCGTTACATATGAAGTTAAAAAATCTGCATAATAAAGTTTACTGAACAGGTCAGTGGACCTGGATAAGTCCAACTGTTGCACTTGGCAGGACTGCATTAATGCACAGTGATAAAAGCATGCACAGTTCCCTGGGAACGGCCCCGTAATCACAAACATTATGACTCACACGTTCGTACACTCGTACGTGTATCACTTTGAAGATTCTTAACGCATGCTGTTATCTTCATCTTCTGTATCTCAGAATGAATGAGATTCATTGTGTAGCAACGAAAACACGACGGCAAACAATCCCCACTGCAAATCTGCTGTGCTCAGTTCCAGCATGTTTTTAATCTACATGAGTTAAAGTTGGGTGGGGTTTGCACTAAGGGACAGAATAATAACACTGCCATTGCAGGCAGTTTAAGCTCTCTGAAAGAGGCTGCAGCTCTCATAGGTCATCATCGCAGAGATTCAAATATTAGCTTTGTTAGATTATGTGAAACCCAGGTATGCTCACTTTAAAAACACGGCGTATGCTGTTAGTGCAAGTTAAACAGGAAGCTGACTGCAGCAATTTAAGAGATGATGGTTCTATTAGTCATAGGAAGTACCAAAATGTATTTGAAGTATAAAAATTATACGTATTTTATTAAAAGAAATCATAACGTAGTGTAAAAAGCCCCGATTGTTCAGTAAGTGTGTTAATAATAACTGCGGCGGGAAACGTAGCATACTGTGAGTATAAAGTCTGAGCAGAGTGTGTAAATGAGGTTATTTACAATGGGAGTGTCGCAGTGAGCCAGGGCGGTCACATGACTCAAAGCTTATTTGTCTTGCCCGTGTTGCTGTTGAGCGGTTTGCGGTGCCAGGTGCTCTAACAGTGCATAAGGTACACATTTGGTCCGCTGCCCAAAATGTGTGTGCCTGAAGCACTTTGCAGTTGGTCTCACAGACCTGCAACACAGCAGGCCTGCAACACAAACCTTTTTGTTTTCGTGGGTGCATTATTGATGATGAAACAATTTGCAAATCATTAAATTGTAATTAACAAATTGCATATAATGTGACAAAGAAGTACACTTTCAAGTTTATCTCCATAGTGGTCCAGATAAGAGTTATGTATAGGCTTAATAGTTAATTATAAAGAGGCCGTGTAGAACTTAAATAATGGCCACAATAATGGTAATAAAATGGTAATAAGTTTCCAAAAGCATGCAACATCTCATTATTAGCCTTTTGCAGAAGCTCACACATTGATGGCTCAGTATTCTTTTTTTCTTCTTCTTTTTTCTTTTGCTTAAAAAAAAAAAGCACAACCTCTGACAATGATACCTTTGACACTACCACCTCGTCTGATAGGCAGGTTCACTGGAGCCCGGGATTACTTTCATGTAATTGTTTGTGTCCCAGGGTGTGTTACCCATCAAATGCCTAATCCAGTAGTTTCCCAATGCCTAATGCCCAAGGATCCAGTTGCAGGTCAAATGGGGTCTTTCAACAGAATGAGTGTGACTGACAAACAAACACACAGGGATGAACAAACGGTGCCTAAACCAGCAAAAAAAACAACAAACCAAAACAAACAAACAAACAAACAAAAACACCCACGACCACGAACAATTATAAGGAAAGCCTCCAAAACAGAAGTCAAGTTTCTGCTTGTCACTCCTCCTCTGTCCTGTGCTGCCAGTGATCACTCCTGATAATGAACCGCCCAACACCTAAGGGTTAAATAGGCAGGACCCGCTGTCTCAAATACACATAATACAGGCACTAATTTTTAAAAAGTGACACCGGTTAAGGCTGCTTGACTTCTTGGCTTTTAGTTATCATGTTCTTCTCTTCAACTTAGGTTACAAGAGCGTCTTTTCTGACCTGCCCCTCTAGTGACCAGCCCACTCATATGAGGCTAATCTGGGCTCCCCTTTGGCCACTTAATGGCCCTTTGGTGTGGATTCCAACCCTGAACCTTAATTATTTAGCCAAAGGTCACACCTGATCTTCCAGTTCCTAATTTATGGCAGACTAAAAGTGACAAGAATACGCTGCAGACACCAGATGAAGTTAACTTTTGCAGCACAGTGAGCCCGTGAAGCAGACTTGAAAGAGAAAGAAGAAGAAGAAGGTTTAAAGGAGGCCAATACCACAGTTAAGACAAGCTGAAGTAATGCAAAGCATCAGCAAAACACTTCTGTTTATTGTCATGCTCAATCAGAAATATAGTACGAGAATGTTAGTAAAAATGCACTGTCAGATTTTCATGCACCCAATGCAGGGACACTTTGACACATTCAGAAATACACTTTAAAGAGTTGGAAAAGAAGAAAAATAGTACCCTAGGGTCTGTATGGAAAATCAATTATAGTTAAAGAGGGAAACAGCTACCCTCTTTTAGCACTAAATAACAGATATGATCAATGTATTTTGTTCTAAAAAGATGCAAACAACTTATTAAACAAAAAAGTTGTTGTTAAATGTTATTTCTTATCTTTAGGGATGCTGGCAGATGTTTCGTGTTGTTACTTTTAGCCAAATCAAAGCTATCTAATGTATAGGAATTTTTGGCTATTAATCTCAAAAGCATATTTCCTAAAATGTCAAACTATTCCTTTAAGATGTAATTTACTTCTGACCCAAAGGACTGCATGGCACAACTGTGCAGGAAGCACAGGTTTGGGTTTAAGCTAAAGGTCTCGTTGGCAGTGGTGCGTTGGTCACGTGTGCAGCAAGGTTTTCACAGGGACACGGCATGCACGGGATAGCGTACGTCTGCATGCTATCATAGTATATTATCATAATGAGGTAAATGTGCTATATAGTGGGATGCACATGCTGTACATAAGAACATAGTGGTAACTAGTAGTACAAAGCAATAAACTGACAGTTATAATCTTATAAAAAGGAATATTTAGTTATTTTTTTAGAGCTGGTATTGTAGTGTTTTAACTTTTCCCAATATTGCTTTATTTCAAAGTTCTGTGTTTGAAACATAAAAAAAACCCATTAGTGGCTTTTCGATTCATTTTAACATTGTTAAGGCTGTGCTTTGTGTAGTGTTTTGAATGTGTGTAGTGTGATTTCTTTTCTTTTTTTGTTGTGAAGGATGAATTGTCCCCTATGAGGTCGCCTCCCCTGTCTTCTTTTCCACATCTTCCTTCACAGCAGCGGGGAGCTTGTCTGCAGTTTCCCCCACCTTTACCGTTTCCTCCACGTTTTCCTCCGCTTTTACAGCCGCTTCTCCTGCTTTTGCAGCTGTGGCAGACACAGCTGCTTCCTTTGC